TGGAATGTCAGGAGTGAGGTGAAAGAAGACTGGAAAGGCAGGTGGAGTCTGAGTTAGGAACGGATTGGAACACCAAACAGCCTTTTGTATTCGACCCTGGAGGCAGTAGGGAGCCACTGAAGATTGAATTGGGGGGTGGGGTGTGGAGGCGTGACATGGTCAAACCTGAACTTTAGGAAAATCACTTTAGTGGAGTTAGGGTTGGGAATCAGGAATGGGAGAGAGCCCATGGGAAGAAACTGGGATCAAATGAATGTAAACAAACCTAGATCAAGTATTCATGTCAAAGCAGGAGCCGGTATAAAGCAATACCAAAGAATTGAATAGAGGAAACATGAACATAACAATTATAACTGGAAAATGTGAATAAATCAAAATTCCCCCAAAAAGAGAATAATAGAATGGATAAGGAAACAAAATCCAACACTTGCTACATGGAATGAAAATGAAGAGTTGAAATAAAAAATATCTGTGTATCACATGATCCAAAATACATAGATTTTACAAATGAGTTTATATTCTAAACTAGTGTTGCCCTGGGTTATCATTTTTCTCCCTCTATGGAGAGCAGGGACTGTCTTCATCCTCTATTTATATCCTTGGCTCATAGCACCATGCTTTGTATACAGTAACCACTTAATAAATGCATTCTTTAATTCACAGTACGGAGATTCAAGTGTTAGCTTGGTGAGATGGTTTCTAACTTTGTCCTAAGTCTTTTGGCAGCTGATTTAAATCAACCAGACTTAAAATAATTGCTAACATGTACACAGTGTTTTAAGGTTTGCAAAGCACTTTTCATGTGCTATCCCATCTGATGTTCACAACTCCGTGGGATAAGTGCTTTATTAACCCCATTTTATAGATGAGCAAATTGAGTGTCTGAGATAGGACTTGCACTTGGGTCTTCCTGACTTCAAGCCCAGCACTCCATCCACTGTACCACCTAGCTATCTTAAAACTGTACAAAATCGGGGGTAGCGAGGTGGTGCAGTGGATAGAGCACCAGCCCTGGATTCAGGAGGACCTGAGTTCAAATTCAGCCTCAGACACATAACACTTACTAGCTGTGTGATCCTGGGCAAGTCATTTAACCCCATTGCCTAACCAAAAAACAAAACAAAACAACTGTACAAAATCGTAATTAATATTGACGTTCTTCCCTCTCTCCAGGTCATTTAAACAGATTGACATCATTGTTCTGATTTACCGACACATTTCTCTTTCAATTTCTATTGAGTTTGGCTGTTCCCCTGATGCCTCAATGGTCTGAATATACACAGAGAACTGATTCAGACATTACTTTCACTTCAATAACCAATTATTTCCTGTCAAAATGTAATGCATTTCATTTCTTGTGATGTTACCCAGTTCTTGCTACATCCATCACATCTTGATTCTGTTCAGCATCCTTGATCTATCAACATGAGCCTTCCATAAAACCTACAAGCCTCCGGCCACAACTTTTCTACTCCTGAGTCATTTGAAATCTACTTTTTGCTTTCTTTCCCATCCCTACTTTTCATTGTGGCTTTGTGGCTAAATCAAGGCAGAGTTTCTGGAGACAGAAAATCTTTGGTCTTTTCTTTGTCCCATTCATTTGTTATTGCAACAATGTCATACATACTCCTCGTCTCCTCTTTTTTGTTGTTAGTTTGTTTGATTTTTAAGGGGGTGTAGGGGTTCTTCCTACTTTCCCAACATCTCGTGTGAAATAAAAGTTGATTAATTCAGCCTTCTTACTGCCTCCCATTATTATCATCCCATTTGCCCTCCCTAAGCAGTGGTTCCAATTTTTCTTTGATGCTAGCCTTCTTTCCAACATAACTAAAAAACACTACTGAATCAGTAGAGGCAGCTAGAGGTATGGTGGGCTTGAGTCAGGAGGACCTGAGTTCAAATCCAGCTTCAGACACTAGCTGTATAACCTTGGGCAAGTCACTTAAAACTCTTTCTCAGTTTCCTCATCTGTAAAATGGGGATAATATTAATAGCACTTACTGTTCAGGGTTATTGTAAGGATCAAATGAGATCCTTGCAAAAAGTGCTTAACATAGTGCCTGATACATAATAAGCACTTAGATGCTTGTTGACTCTGTTAAAATTCACTATCTGAGATTGGCTTAAGAACTCTATTTTAAAATTCCTTAACTTGGATATTCCAAAATTTTGCAGGTAAACATCCAATTCCTTTAAATTCTTGGTTTTGTTATAATTGTATATAGTAGATTCTGTTCATTCTTTTCATTTCCTTCATGTTTGTTGGGTTCACTCTCATTTTTTATTTCAGTAATTTGATCTTCTTTTTTCTTTAATATCATGTTAAAGGATTATCAATTTTCTTAGGTTTTCAAAGAGTCAGTCTTCACAGTTTCCTTCATCATTTTGTATTTTTATTTTCCATTTTGATCATTTTCTCCTCCAATTTTCAAGATTTCTTCTTTTGTGCTTAGTTTTGGTTAATTTGATTCTCCAGTTTTTAAAACTGCGCACCCAATTCATTAATCTAATTTTCCTATTTGGTTAATGTATGTTTGCAGAGATACAATTTTTCTTCTGAGGATTGCTTTTGCTGCATGCCAAAAATGTTGGTATGCTGTTTTTTTTAAATCATTTTCTTTTATAGTTATGTGATTTGTTCTTTACACCACTCATTACTGAAGATGATTATTACATCTCCACCTAGATGTGCATCTTCTGCTTATGTTCCCCATATTAATTACAATTTTGTGTTATGGATTGTAAAGGATCTCTTTGATATTTGTATTTTTACATTTCTTTATAATTTTGTTCCCTTATATGATTGTCTATTTTGCTAAAAAAGAATGCGTGAAGATAAAGGAATAATGTGGAAGGCACAATAACATACATTTCCATGTTATCCAGGACTCCTGTTCAGAAGATGCCACCGGCCTTTCAAATCAGACTTTTCCAATAGCCTATTCAGTTCTCTATTTTTTTTCTTCATCTTTCTGGGAAGACTGATACAGCTTTGGGAGAGAAACATTAATGTCTCCTACAATTAGTGCATTATTTTGTAATTCAGCTAACTTTTCCTTTATGATTTAGATATGTTATGTGATTTGGTGCATACATGTTTACTAATTATAATTTCATAGTCTATAGTGCTTCTAAGCATAGGTTTTGCTGTTTTTCTCCCTTATATTGTGATTTTTTTTTGCTTTGTCTGATAGCATGATTACAACTTCTAATAATCAAAAGTTTAAAGAGCATAAATACTTATGCCACACTAATTATTCTAAATATTTGAAGGGGGGAAAGCATTCTTCCAAACTCTTTTTATGAGATGAATATGGTCTCAATACCAAAACCGGGGAGAGATGAAGCAGAAGATTAGACATCGTTGTCACTAGTGACTACCGATGTGAAACTTTTAAACAAAATCTAGCAAACAGATGACAATAATAGATCCAAAAAATTATTCACTCTAAGAAGTTTGGATTTATACCACGGAATGCAAGGAAGGTTCAATATTAGCAAAACAATTAGCGGACTCAATTACATTAGCAAAAACAGCCAAAACCACAGGATTATATCAAAAGATGCAGAACAAGTCAACAGGCTATAGCAGTCATTTGTTTAAAACTCTAAAAACCATAGGCACAGAGAGCCCATTTCTTAAAACGACCAACAGCATAAATCCAAACCCCAAAGCTATTAACTACAACGTGAAATACTGAGAGCCAGGTGGCACAGTGAAGGGTGCTGGCCCTGGAGTCAGGAAGATCCGAGTTCAAGTCAGACCACAGAAACACCAGCTCTGTGGCCCTTGGCAAGTCCCTTAATCGCTGTTTGCCTTTGGTTCCTCATTTGTAAAAATGAGCTGGAGAAGGAACAGCAACCCACTCCAGCATATTTGCAAGGAAACCCCAAATGGGGTCATGAAGAGTTGGACATGACTGGAAAATGACTAAACAGGTGGTGCTGTGGACAAGCATCAGGCCTTTCACGATTTTCCCCATTGCGTTTTCGATATATCATGGCCTGGCATAAGAAATTAAATGGGAATTTTGGGGGAGTTTTATGGAAACTGCAGATGACACAGAAAAAGTTGAGAAACTCAGAAATGCATAAAATATACGTATAGTATTGTGTAATGTCAACATATTTTATCTTTTAATGCCATAATTCAGACTTCTTCTCTGGTATGAAGGGAGGGAGGGAGGGAGAGAGGGGGAGAGTGAGAGAGAGAGAGAGAGAGGGAGAGAGAGAGAGAATTATCACTATTTACAGACAACAGGATGATTTTCTTAGGAAACCCTGGAGAATTATCGAAGGACTGGGAGAAAATCTTCATTAAAGTAGGATATGAAGATCCACAAAATGGTCACCATTTCTATATAGCAAAAGCAAAAACCAGAAACAATGGCAGAAAGGTAAGTCTTACCTAAAACAACTGAAAAATAGATATCTGGGAGTCTACCTAAGACACAGCCAAGACATATAAATACAAATATAAAGGAAGACAAATAATTGCAAAGATATTCATTGCTCATGGTTTAAGTTATACCAATGTGATACAAATAATGATACTACCTATTATAAATTCGTTTACAGATTTAGTGTAATACCAACTAAACTATCAAGGGATGATTTTATTTGTTGTTGTTCGGTAGTTTCAATTACATCCGACTCTTCATGACTCCTTTTGGGGTTTTCTTGGCAAAGATACTGGAGATACTGGTTTGCCATTTCCTTCTCCAGATCATTTTATAGATGAGCAACTAAGGCAAACAGGGTGAAGTGACCTGCCCAGTCACACAGCTAGTGTCTGAGGCCAGATTTGAACTCAGATCCTCCTAACTCTAGAGCTGGTACTTTACTCACTGCACCATCTAGCTGCCCCTGGTTCTCGGTATTCTGTAGTTGTATCAATTTCCTACATACCCTGGATATTGGTCCTTTATCAGAGATAACTGCTATATAAAATGTTTTCAAATAATTCTCATTTATTTTTTAAAAAGTTTTATTTATGCTTTTTCTTTTTACAACATAGTTGTTTCCAATTATACCATCTCCACTGTGCCCCTAAACTGTACCTTCTCTTGTATCAAAGAAAGACAGTTCAGCAAATACAATCCACACAGTGACCTCAACTCACAAAGTAACATTCTGCCCAAGCAGTCTGGGGCCATTCTTCATTTGTTTGCTTTCCTTTGGACGCTCCTTGAAGTTCCACTGCGGTAGTTACTGTTTATTTGTTCGGGTACTGCTGATGTCACCGTGTTAGTTCCTACAAATGTCCCCATGTTTCTCAGAACTCCTCATATTCATTACTTCTTGCAACAAAATGATATTCCTTACATTCACGTCTCAGTTGCCGAGCCTTTCCCCAAAATGTAGGCACCTACTTTGTCTCCAGTTCTTTGCTACCACACACACACACACAGAGCTGCCATGAATATTTTAGTATATACTGAATCTATTTCTGATTGACATTCATGGGGGGCTCTAAATGGTATGAACAATTCAGTCATGTTTCATGTATAATACTAAACTGTTATCCAGAATGGTTGGGGCAATTCACATCTTTACCAAAAGTTCATTCATATGCCTATATTTCCTCAGCTCCTTCAACAGTGACTGTTCTCATTTTTTGGTCACCTTTACCAATTTGTAGGGCTTGAAGTGAAACCTTTTAAATGGCTTGTTTTTCTTTTTTTTTTTTTTGTTTGTATTTCTCTTGTGATGAGTAAATTAGGAGTATGTTTTCATCAGGCCATTATGGTTTCAATTCTTTTATTTTGAAAACTATGTATCCTCTGACCACTTGGTTTTTTAGTGTTATACAGTTCCGTTAATTCCCTAGACATCTTAGATTATCAGACTTTTATCAGTGATATCTGACACAGATTTTTTCCCCCAGTGTAGTTTCTCTTCTTATTCTTGTGGCATCACTTCTGTTTGTGCAAAACCTTTTTTGTTTTATGTAACTTAATTGTCTCTTTTGACTTAAGTGATGACTTCAATCTATGGTTTGGTCAAGAATTCTTTACTTCACTACAGTTGTAAAAAATAGATAATTCCTTCCTTTCCCCTTTATTTTTAATGGTGTGACCATTTGTATTCAAGGTTCATATCCATTTGTAGTTTATTTTGGCATGAGTTGCAGATCTAAAGCTGATTTCTGCCAAACATTTCCAATTTTCCCAGTTCTTGTCAAATTGGGAGTCCTTATCATAGAAGTCTGTGTTCTTGGATTTAATGCATCCTAGGCTACTCATTCAAATCTTTCTGGGCTCTTTTTGAGCAGGATTTATTAAAATATAGAATTCGGGTTCTATATTTCATCAGTTGTTTTTGTCTGGGATGCCAACAGTTCTCAGACTGTCTCATCAACCACTACCTTCAAGGTCAGTTGCTTTGCTTTTGTCCAAAGAGACTTCAGTTGTTCTTCAAATCTGCCAATTTTCAACCCTGTCCTAATATTCCTTTTTGTGTATTGGAATGTTTGGATTACAGCTCTGATCCCCTTAGTGCAGCCACTGAAATTAAGAATTTCCACTTTCTGTTCTGAACTATTTTCTTGTTTATCTTTTCTCATTCCATTGGATGAGCTCCCATATTCCTTCTAAAATTCTCAATTCTTTTTAAAAGCCTTTCAATCACTTTGGGGGTCTTTGTGGCAGTTCCATTTTCATGCTTGGGTGTCTAGTTAGTATTACACTATTATTCTCTTCTTTTGGAGATGTCTCATAACTTTCTTTTACCTAATATCATTTCTTCATTATATTTGGAGCTCTTTTTTGTATGCTCACTACTACATTCTGACTGCTATTTTTTTTCTGCAAGGTTTTTCCTTGTAATGATTTCTTTGCCCTCTATATTTTGGGGGGTTTCTTTCACTTTTGGCAAATATATTACTCTTTTAAAGCAATGAAAGAGAACAAGACTGACTTAAAACCACTCATTTCTTTCCCCCTCTCTTTACATTTGTAGGCATTCCCTACAAAGTGATTTCAGTAGTGGTAAAGACTGAAAGATTTTCCACATTCACTGCATTCTTGGGGTTCTATCCAGGATGGATTTACTGAAATTCAGTAAGACCTCACCCCTTCATACACAAGGCTTTCCCATATTCATCACATTAATGAATACTCCTCCAGGTTACTTTTTTTTAATATATGTTGAGTAAGGGCTTAGCTCCAACTGAAGGCTGATTCACATTCCTTAAATTCATAGACTCTTTCTCCACTATGAATTCTTTTGTGATTATTAAGGGATGAACAGTTGGTGAATGCCTTTCCACATTCTTTGCATTTATAAGGCTTCTCTCCACTGTGCATTCTCTGATGTTTAGTAAGATTGGAGCTATTGCTGAAGGCCTTCCCACATTCCTTACATTCATAAGGCTTCTCTTCAGTGTGAATTCTCTGGTGCCTAGTCAGGGAAGACATCTGCCTGAAGGCCTTGCCACATTCTTTACAAGTATAAGGCTTCTCTCCAGTATGAATTCTATGATGTTGAGTAAATAAAGAACTTTTTCTGAAGGCTTTGCCACATTCTAGACATTTATAAGGTTCCTCTCCAGTGTGAATTCTAATATGTTCAGTGAGAGATGAGCTCCAGTTGAAGGCCTTCCCACATTCCTTACATTGATAAGGTTTCTCTCCACTATGAATTCTTTCATGCTTAATAAGGGAGGACTGGTTGGTGAAGGCCTTCCCACATTCCTTACATTGAAAAGGTTTTTCACCAGTGTGAATTCTCTGATGTTTAGTAAGGTTTGATCTCTGAATGAAGGCTGTCCCACATTCCTCACATTCATAGGGTTTCTCTCCACTATGAGTTCTTTCATGTTTAATAAGGGAGGCTCGGTTGGTAAAGGCCTTCCCACATTCCTTACATTTGTAAGGTTTTTCTCCAGTGTGAATTCTATGATGTTGAGTAAGGGATGAGCTCCAGTTGAAGGCCTTTCCACATTCCTTACATTGATAAGGTTTTTCTTTAGTGTGAACTCTCTGATGTTGAGTAAGGGATGAATTACAGCTGAAGGCCTTCCCACATTCTTTACATTTATAGAGTTTCTCTCCAGTATGAAGTCTCTGATGTAGAATAAGGTTTGTATGCCTTGTGAAGACCTTTCCACATTCCTCACAATCATAGAGTTTACCTTTTCTATGCAGTGTCTTATGTTGATTAAGATGTGTGTGGTGATACGGAAACTTCTCCCACAACCTGATCTCTTTGATAGGACCCTCCTCAAATGTGCAGCTTTGGGAAAAATCCTCACTGAATCTTTCTACTAAGATCCCAGGTGATTCTCCTCCTTCTTGACTGGGAAGTGATTCCTGATTCTCAAATCTAGTATCCCAGGCTGAAAGAAATTGAGAATGAAAACAACTTTAATTTCAGTTATAAAGGACCTCAGAGAGCTAAGCCAACCCTCACCACAGTCACCCTAACCCAAAAAAGGTCATGCAATCTCAGACTACACTAGAAGAGGCATAGGATACTTAGACTAGCGAGATGATAAACTGCCTAGACGTACTCTGCCTTGGTCAGACTACATTTTCAGTGATAAATTAGGTGGGACGTTGTTAAGTTCGGTGAACAAAGCAGGGAAAGGAGGACAGTGAAGGGCCCCATTTCACATGATGACTGGCTGAAGAACCTGAAGATTTTGGCCCAGAGAAGAAAAGTCTATGGGGGACATGAGAGTTGTCTTCCAGTATTGAAGGGCAGACAAATGGAAGAGTGATGACAGAAATCAGAATTTTAGAGCTGGAAGGGACCTCAGTGGTGACCTAGTCTAGCCCATACCAGAAAAAAAGAATCTCTAAATGAGAACACACACGACATATTGCGATGATCCAGGGTGCCCTCAAAGCCTTCCATTCCATTATGGGATACCTCAAATCACTAGGAAGTAATTCTTAATATCAGCCTCAATTTTCCTCTTGGAATTTCTACACGAAGCTCCTAATCCTGCCCTCTGGGGCAAAGCAGAACAAATCTCCTCCCTCTTTCACATGACAACCCTTCAACTACTAGCACATGGCTCTCATTCCACCGAACCGTCTCTTCAAACCTTCCCGCCTCCTTTGGCCGACGCTCATGACGCCTGGGTCCCTCGCGCCCCTGAGCGCTCTCCTCTGCACTATCTCGAGCTTATCAATCTCCTTTTCTAGGGCAGCAGATCCGGACACCCCAAAGTGAGGTGAACCGCCAGAGACAACAGTGACTGAGGAATAAGGCTACGACTAAATCTTCACTCTCTGGACTCATGCTCCCGTGCTCTTCATTGTTGACCACGGGCCTAAAGGTCTCCTGGCGCGGGGATGGCGAATGAAGAAACTGCTCCGTGATGAGATCCAAGAAGGGTCAATGAGGAGACTACGGCCTTGACAGACCTTTCAAACATCCCTGCCCTCCGGAGCTCGGGCGGAAGGGGTTAGCTGGGAAGAGGAGCGGGGAGGACAAGGGCCCACAGGAAAGGGAATAGTAGGGCGGGAGTACCTCGAAAGCAGGGATCCTGTCACAGAACGATGCGGTCATCCTTGGTCACTAGAGGGGAGAGCTCCAAGGGACTTTGGAGATCAAGTAGCCCCAAGTCCATACTACACAGAGGAGGCAAGAGAAGCCCAGAAAGGGGAGCGACTCGGCCAAAGTTCCTCTTTGAGAAAGTGGGGTCACAGGGTCCTTGAATGTCAGAGCTGGAAGGACCCTTCTCTCCAAGCACTCCATGTGAGAGGGAGCAGGTAGGGACATTATTGCTCCAGGGTCTCTGGGAGCACGGACCAAGCGCTCAGGGCGCCACGGCCAAAACCACCCTGACCTCAGACTCGGCGAGAGGGCTGGGAAATCTACCACCACCAGGCACCAGCTCCAACCCTCATCTTACCCCGCTGCACCACTCATCACTTTAACACGGCCATACCCGACGGCACAGAGGGGCTGCTCCATGCGCTGGCTCCTAGCCGCCCGCCGGAACTGCCTCCTTCGGGTGGACGGGCACTTCTTGGGGCCCCTCCCTGCGGATGCCACGCCAGGGGTTCTTCCGCTTCTTCCCACCAGGAGATCAAGTCTGATTTGGGATCCAGAAGCCCTGGATGTGGGGGAGAAGATGAGAAGGCTCTCCAGGTGCTGTGATGACATCTTCCTCCCGTCCCCCCGTTCACCACTTCAGAGGCATCCTCGGCGCCTCCCTCGGCTGCTGAGTGTTACTGATTCTACGTTCCCAGTGTACCCCACACTGTCCCAGTGTCCACTCTCATCATCATTCCTGCCTGCCTCAATGACCGCGATGGCCAAACAGCCGGTCTTGCTTCCTGTCTCTCCATCCTCAGGACACTCTCCACACGGCTGCCCAAGCGGTCTCCCCAACCACAGGTCTGACCAGGTCATTCCTGGGCCCCGGTGGCTCCCCTGGCCGCTCGGATCAAACACCAACCACCCGCCATGACAAGGCTCCAGTCTAACTTTCTGGAGTTATCCCACATCACTTCCCTTCACAGACCCTCTGGCCCATCCATGCCAGCCAGCGTGTGAGGTTATTTCTCACACACTACGTCCCTCTGCTCTCCAGGCCTGGAATGCCTCCCCCTCCTCACGCCTGGCTCTTGGAATCCCTGGGGTCCGTCAAAGCTCAGCTCAGGTGCAGCCGCTGCCTCTGGGAAATAGTTCCGGATCCACCCCTGCTGCTGCTGTCCACCCCAACCACCTGGTGCTAACTGCATCTGTGCTTATCTGTGCGCTAGTCGTTACCTCCGAGAGACTCTAAGATCTTCGAGGGCAGGGAGACTTTGGTTTGGTCTTTATACACCAAGTGCCCAGTACTCAGTAGGTACTTAATAAATGCTTACTGATTCCTCCGAGGCAGCAAGGGGGTAGGATTTCCTTCCAATGAATGAGGAGAGGCGGCAGGAGGGGAGTGGTTGCCAAGACTAGATCCCACCATACGCCCCCCTAGTTGTAGACATCGGCTGGTCCAACCTCCCCTTCGAAGCATGCACCTCCAGGACGTCCTCAGAACTAGTCTTGATTCCCCTCCCACGACAGGAAGACTCTGTTCCCAGGAAGGGGCAGGAGAGGGGTGATAGGGCGAAGCCGGAAAAGGCCTGGGGTGGAGTCCGGCAGCGTTTCGAGACACACTTCTGCCCCTCTCCCAGCGGCGCCTTGGAGAAATTGCTCACCCTTTCTAGACCTCATCTTCCACCACAATAAAGGCGCAGCAGAGGATGGACAATCTCCAACCACCCGCCCGATACCAACACCCTAACGTTTGGTTATTTGTTGGGGCAAAACTGAATGTTCCACTCCTATGGGGGAGGGGCGTGGCCCACCCCTGCGGACGTCTGGCCAGAGCAGTCCCTGCCTCAGGAGTCGAGACCTGGGGGAGAGTCCAGGAGGATGCAGAGGCGTGTCTGGGTCCAGGAGAGTAGCCGTCTCTCTTTCAGAACCACGTGAGCTGAGCGCTCAGGGCCCCGAGACTGCGCTCCTCACTTTTCAGCCCAGACTCCTGAAGGTAAAGCCTCACTGGGAGGCGGCCTTACCCAGGGAGACCAGGTTCCTGTAGTTCTCCAGCATCACCTCCCTGTAGAGCTCCCTCTGAACAGGACTCAGGCACCCCCACTCCTCCTGGGTAAAGTCCACAGATACATCCTTGAACGTCACTGCCTCCTGCAACACCAAACATATGCGTGCTGGCCTGGTGGTCACCTTGACAAAGCCCTGGGGGTGAGGACGAGCCCAGGAGGGACAGAGGCGGATCTGAAGAGGTTCTGGGGGTCAAGCTGGTCCCGGGGAGCCAGGTTATCTGGGCTCAGGCCCCAACTCTGTTACTGACTTGGGGAAGGCTGGAAAAACAAGTTTTCCTCTGTCAGCCTCAGTTTCCATAGTAAAGTTAAGGAGATGGACCATCTCCAATAGACCTCTACTATTAGAGACAAGGAGGGCACCCTCAGACACAGGTCTAGACAGGTGAGTTTGCTGCTAACTCTCATCAACTGCCACCCCCAGCACTTAACCAGAACTCAGGAAAGCTGCCTGTCTATGGTCGGGAACCCGTGAAATCAATCCTACGGAGAAAAGAGACCTCCAACTCACCTGGACCCTGGCCAGCAGAACCGCAGAAGCCATTCCCTCTTCCTCTGGACCGTCCTCTCGAGGACGGGCAAATCTGAAAGACGGGAAATCTGTGGGACAGGAAAGGAGTCACAGCCAGGGAGCTGAGGTTGGCTGTTCAGTCCATGGATCCACCTCATCAGAAGTCCCCTGCCCTCAGATAGGTGAGCCCCACCCCCCTGCGCGCGCGCGCGCGCGCGCGCGCACACACACACACACACACAGTCTCTCTCTCCCCCAGAGACAGCCCTGCTGTCTCCTAGGGCCAGAGATTCACAGAATTTCAGAAGTGGAGGGACCTCAGTGGCCTTATCTACACATAAGGTTAGGGGTAAAGATACACACTGGAGACTTATATGCAGGAATGTGTTAACTAAATCCTTGAGAATGGAAAGACCCTTTCGAGGAGAAAGGACAGCCCAGGAGAATAGGGTTGGGGGAAACTGAGGAGTCGGCAGTAACACGGGAGTGGTTAGAAAAGACAGGCAGAGGTGGATAGAGCACCGGCTCTGAAGTCAGGAGGACCTGAGTTCAAATCTGACCTCAGACCAAACACTTGACACTTACTAGCTGTGTGACCCTGGGCAAGTCACTTACCCCCAACTGCAAAAAAAAAAGAAAGAAAGAAAGAAAAAAAGAAAAAAGACAGCAGAGTCATGGAAAGGGGTAGCTGTCCAAAGAGAGTGATGAGGATGCACAGGGACCTCACCGCCCAACTCTGGCTTGACAAAGACAAAGACAAGAAATGCAATCGAGGACAGAGGATGGAACCCAAAGCGTGGCACCAGGCTCGGAGCAAAGCATCAGGAGCCTGGAAGCTCGCAACAGGAAAGCTGAGGACAACAGCAAAAAAGGGACTGCGTAGCTCCATTGAGGACATTACGAAAGGGCAAGGACATTTGCTCAGATGGATAGAGCAGTAACAGAGAGCTGTTCAGCTCATCTCAGTTTCCTTCTCTGTGTCCACAGAGGACAACCCTTGGACTGGAAAGGATGGAACCAACATGGCGCACTGGCGTTGACCACCAAGAAGAGAAGGCTGTTCTGCATGAGCCCAAGGCACCAGGCCCAGATGGACCACATCTCGGGGTCCTGAGAGAACTGTCGGATGTGACCGCCTAGCCCCTCCCAGAGACCCTAAAGGACCGTTGGGAGAGGTTCCCCAGGGCTGGAAAAGGCAAGCGCTGCCATATTTTCAGATCAAGGAAGGGAATGAATTCTACAGACTATTGGCCAATCCTGGCAAGATTCTAAACCATCTTAGGAAAGGAATATTTCATAAAAACCCAGAAAAGAAAGCAGGGGGACAAGGAGATGATTTCATCAAACAGACAGGTCACATAGTCTAAAGAACAAAGGTCAAGGTCAGAGGTTCTTAACCTTTGGTGTGTCCGGGACCCCACTCGCAGCCTGGTGCAGACTACGGAAGACCTCTTCTCTGAATCACGGTTGTAAGTGCACAAAATAAACAGGATTAAAAAAGGAAACCAATTCTATGGAAACACACTTACCAAATAGATGTATTTCTTTAAACCAGCAAGTTCACAAATGCCCGGTTAAGAACTCTTGGTCTAGAATCTCAGGGGAAGTCACGTTAAAAAAAGAAAAAAAAGAAGAAGGAAAGGGACGTAGTACTTCCAGACCTCAAATTTATAATAAAGCAGTTATCACTAACAGTCTTGGTGCAGGTTAAAAAGCAGAAAAGTAGATCACTGGGACAGAGAGCCAGAAAAGCAATTCAAATTTAAAACTGTTACTACTTGCAAAGCAGCACTGCTTTTGCCAGGCCTCGGGGACACAGAGTCCAGAACAAAGCAGTCCTTGCCCACAAGGAGCTTAATTCTGCTATGTGTAACCACAAGTACAGAAACAAATACACATCATTTTAGAGGAAGGGAGTTTTCCCATTAAACACAGTAGGTCCTAGAAAAATGTCAGGTCTTTACCTGTGGGCCCTGGACCAATGATCATGGCCTGGAGGCCCAGGCCCTTTCAACTCCAGAATTGCAGCCCCGATGGAGAGTGCTGTCCTGAGGCTGTGAGTGCCTCACCTGGCCCCCTCTCTCTGGACTTCTTCCAGCCACACTCCCCCCTAATGCTCCTCCATGTTCTCCTCTTCCTCAGTCCGGCACCCTTACCCCCATCTCCACCTTCCAGCTCCAGAATCATCCCATCTACACTACGATTGCCCCTGCAAACACTGGTCCAACCCTAAATGCCTCTCCTTCCCCACAGGTGTAGTGCCCCACCAGAGTACAAGCTTCGTGAGGGCTGGCACAGCTCACGGCTGGACTGGTGTCCTTTGTGCTTGGTATATATCAATGGCCGGGCATCTCCCGATGACACCAGAACACAACACACCCCAACATCTTGGGCTTCATCACTGCTCGCACACTGATTGATACCGCTCAGTGTGGCAGACGGGGTTCAAGTCAGACCTCTGGTGCTAATCACCTGTGCCACAGTGCCTCAGCATCCTTGTCTGTCCAATGGGCTGGACTCTCCATCGAAGGCCACAATATCCGCTGGTACTTCAGGCCTCCTCTTGGCCTCTCTGCCTCCAGCCTTCCCGTGGGCCCAGATGGTCCACGAGCAGAGAGAGGTCTGGCTGTCACTTAACCGTTCAAGAACCATTCATGCCAGACAAAGTGTAAACCAGCTTTGTTCGGCATTTAAAGCCCTCCGAAGTCTGGTTCTAGGCTCTCCTTTTCACCTGCATGAGGTGTGGGTAATGTTTCACGGATGTGGAGTTACCAAGCACTCACCACTGCTCAGCAGCAGGACATACAAAGCACACAGGACTGTCTCTGCTATAAACACTAAACGGGAAGGTATCGAAAGTCCCAGGTATAAAGGGAACCAAGCCGCCCAAGGGCAGTCTGACACCATCAGCACGTGCATGTTGTGCTTTCGGGGACAGAATCTGACCAAAGAATAAACAAAAACAAGAACACTGAACTGAGCAGGCTGGAGACGTGAGACTGGAGAAACACTTGGTGTGTCTGAACGTGGACAGAGGAGTGACCTGGACCCTTCTCTGGCCTGTGTGATACGCCAGTGCTGGAGCAGAGAGAGTGGAGTGGAGTGGAGAAAAGTGGGAACGTTTCAGCGTCCTTTACGGACCAAAGTGCCACACAAATGCAGGCGACGCGAGGGCGCGGAGCGGCCAGGGCCCCGGGAAAGAGAACCAGGAGCGACGGCTGGTGGACCGAGGAAGAGAAAGCGCACCAAGCTGGGGGCGCGTCCGGAGCGGTCCTCCGAGGAAAACGGCAAACGCTCAAAGACCCGGCTAGCAGACTGACCACCATCTTCTTTAGAAAGCAAACGCGCACAAACACACGGGGTGAACTTTACACTCCGGGTGGGCATTCCATGGCCCCGGCGCACAAGCTCCCTGAGGGCAGGGCTGGCTCTTCCCTTGGCAGCGGGCAGGAGGGAGAGGAAGAGTAGGGGGAGGGGGGAGGGGAAGAGGGAGGAGGAGGGGAGGGGGAAGGAAAAGGGGGAGAGGGGCAAGGAGGGGGGAGGGGGAGGAGGAAGGCCCCGGCCTTTAGACTGTCAGCTCCCTGAGGGCAGTGGCTGTGTCTGGTCTCTTTTTGTAGGCCCAGTACTTAGCACACAGTAGGTGTTTAATGAATGTTTATAAGGGGTGGTGAAAGAACAGGTATCACGGAGCCTTGGAACCCATGAAACTCAGCTAATGAAGGCCATCACCTCCAATGCACACTCAGCAGGCAGTCTCTCACCACACCAGTGTGCACCCCCAGCATTCACACACAAGTGCACACTCAGCAG